AGAAGGGGGGCTCAGAGACAAAATGAAAATGACATAGCATCAAAAGTAAAGACTGACCCGAAGCTGTTGTACAGCCACATCAGGAGGAAAACAACAGTCAAGGACCAGGTAATCAGACTGAGGAAGGGTGATGGGGAATTCACAAGAAACGACCGAGAGGTATGTCAGGAGCTCAACACAAGATTTAAAGAGGTATTTACAGTGGAAACCAGTAGGACTCCAAGAAATCAGAACAGGGGGGCACACCAGCAAGTGCTGGATGAGGTACATATAACCAAGGAGGAGGTGAAGAAGCTGCTATGCGAACTTGACACCTCAAAGGCGGTGGGACCAAAACACTCCCCAAAGGGTCCTTAAAGAGGAGCAGAGATATTGTGTGAGCATTAACAAAGATCTTCAACCAACATTTGAAACTGGGCAACCCCCTGAGGTAGGGAAAATGGAAATGGCCCCAATTTTTAAAGGGAGACAGACATGAGGCACTAAAACTAAGACCTGTATCACTAACGTGTAAAGTATGCAAGGTCATGGAGAAGATCATCAGGAGGAGAGTGGTGGGGCACCTGGAAAGAAACAAGTGTATAATTGACAACCAGAAACGGTTTCAGGGAAGGAAATCCTGTGTCACAAACCTACTAGAGTTTTAATGACAAGGTGACAGAAGTAAGATAAGAGAGAGACGGGTGATCGACTGCGTATTTTGGACTGCAAGAAGGCTTTCGACACAATTCCTCACAAGAGGTTACTGAAAAAGCTAGAGGACCAGGCACACATAACAGGAAAGGCACTGCACTGGATCAGAGAATATCTGACAGGGAGGCAACAACGAGTCATGGTACGCGACGAGGTGTCAGAGTGGGCGCCTGTGACAAGCGGGGTTCCACAGGGGTCAGTCCTAGGACCTGTGCTGTTTCTTGGTATACGTGAACGACATAACGGAAGGGATAGGACCAGAAGTGTCCTTGTTTGCAGACGATGTGAATTAATGAGAAGAATCGAATCGGACGAGAATCAGGCAGGATACAAAGAGATCTGGACAGGCTACAAGCCTGGTCCAGCAACTGGCCCCTTGAATTTAACCCTCCCAAATGCAAAGTCATGAAGTTTGGGGGAAAGGGGCAAAGAAGACCGCAGACACAATATAGTTTAGATGGCCAAAGACTGCAAACCTCACTCAAGGAAAAAGATCTGGGGTGAGTATAACACCGAGCATATCTCCTGAGCGCACATCAATCAGATAACTGCTGCAGCTACGGCGCCTGGCAAACCTACGGATAGCGTTCCGATACCTCAGTAAGGATTCGTTTAAGACTCTGTACCCCCATCTACGTCAGGCCCATACTGGAGTATGCAGCACCAGTTTGGAATCCACACCTAGTCAAGCACGGGCAAGAAATTAGAGAAAGTGCAAAGGTTTTTCAACAAGACTAGTCCCAGAGCTACGGGGATTGTCCTATGAAGAAAGGTTGAGGGAAATCGGCCTGACGACACTGGAGGCCAGGAGGGTCAGGGAGACATGATAACGACATATAAAATACTGCGCGGGAAAAGACGAGGTGGACAAAAACGGGATGTTCCAGAGATGGGACACAGACACAAGAGGCACAATTGGAAGTTGAAGACTCAGATGAATCAAAGGGATGTTAGGAAGTATTTCTTCAGTCATAGAGTAGTCAGGCCATGGAATAGCCTAGAAAGTGATGTGGTGGAGGCAGGAACCATACATAGTTTTAAGGCGAGGTATGATAGAGCTCATGGGGCAGGGAGAGAGAGGACCTAGTAGCAATCAGCGAAGAGGCGGGGCCAGGAGCTGTGACTCGACCCCTGCAACCACAAATAGGTGAGTACAAATAGGTGAGTACACACACACACTCATGAGGTATCACAGTGGGCGCCAGTGACGAGCGGAGTCCCACAGGGGTCAGTCCTGAGACCAGTGCTATTCTTGGTATATGTGAACGACATGGCGGAAGGGATAGACTCAGAAGTGTCCCTGTTTGCAGATGACGTGAAGTTAATGAGGAGAATTAAATCAGATGCAGACCAGACAGGTCTACAAAGAGACCTGGACAGGCTGGATGTGTGGTCCAGAAACTGGCTCCTAGAATCTAACCCCGCCAAATGCAAAGTCATGAAGATCGGAGGAGGGCAAAGAAGACTGCAGACAGAGTATAGGCTAGGTAGCCAAAGGCTGCAAACCTAACTCAAGGAGAAAGACCTAGGAGTGAGTATAATACCGAGTACATCGTTAGAAGCGCACATTAACCAGATAACTGCTGCGGCATATGGGCGCTTGGCAAACCTGAGAATAGCGTTCCGGTACCTCAGTAAGGAATCGTTTAAGACTTTATACACTGTGTACGTCAGGCCATACTGGAGTACGCCCGCACCAGTTTGGAACCCACACCTGGTCAAACACGTCAAGAAATTAGAGAAAGTGCAAAGGTTTGCAACAAGGCTAGTTCCAGAGCTAAGGGGAATGTCCTATGAAGAAAGGTTAAGGAAAATCGGTCTGACAACACTGGAGGACAGGAGGGTCAAGGGAGACATGATAACGACATACAAAATACTGCGTGGAATTGACAAGGTGGACAGAGACAGGATGTTCCAGAGATGGGACACAGAAACAAGGGGTCACAATTGGAAGCTGAAGACTCAGATGAATCAAAAGGATGTTAGGAAGTATTTCTTCAGTCACAGAGTAGTTAGGAAGTGGAACAGTCTGGCAAGCAATGTAGTGGAGGCAGGAACTATACATAGTTTTAAGACGAGGTATGATGAAGCTCATGGAGCAAGGGGAGAGAGGACCTAGTAGCGGTCGGTGGGAAAAGGCGGGGCCAGGAGCTGAGTCTCGACCCTGCAACCACAATTAGGTGAGTACACACACACACACACACACACACACACACACACACACACACACCAACACACACAAACACACACACACACACACTCACACACACACCACCCACAAAACACTCACACACACACACACACAATCACACACCCCTCACACAAACAACACACAAGCACACACATACAAACACACACACTCACACACACACACCCCACCCAACACACACACTCACACCCACACACACAACAATCACACACACACACAACAAACACACACATACAAACACACACCCCACACTCACACACACACACACACATACACAAACACATACAAACACAAAACACACACACACAATCACACACACACACATACACACACACACATAGAAACACACACACACACAAAACAATCAACACACACACACACACAAACACACACACACACACACACACACACACACACACACACACACACATAACACACACACACACACACACAAACACACACACACACACAACACACACACACACACACAACACACACACACACACCACCACACACAATCACACACACACAAGCACACAAACAAAAACACACACACACCACACACACACACACACACACACACACACACAAGCAACAAAAAACACCACACAAAACACACAAACACACACACACAACACAACACAATACAAACACACCACACACCACAACACACAACACACAAAACAACACCACACCCCCAACACAAACACACAACACACCCCCACACACACACACCCCACACACACAAAACACAACACATACACACACACAACAACACACACACACACAACAAAACCCACACACACCAAAACCACACCCCCACAACACACAACAAAAAACACACCCCACCCCAAACCCCAAAAATCACACACCCAAAAAAACACACACACAAACACACACCACACACACACACCCCCACACAAAATCACACACACACACGCACACAAACACCCACCACAAACACAACACACACACAAACACACACACAATCACACACACACACCCACAAAACAACACACACACACCACAACACAACAAAAACACCACACAAACCACAACACAAAAAAACAACACACACACCCAAAAACACACAACACAAAAACACACACACACAACACACAAACACACACAAAAACACACACAAAAACCCAACACACCAACAAACACACACCACACACAAACACACACAACACACCACAAAGAACACAAAAACACACACACCACCCCAAACACACACACCACACACACACAACACACACACACACACCCAACAAAACACACAACACAACCACAACACACACCCCAAAACCTTTGGGAGTTGTATGACAAGTGCAGAAGTGCGACAGGGAAGAGAGGGGTGGGTTGATTGATTTTCTTGGTTTTCAAGTGGGTCTTAGACACAGTTCTTACAAGAGATTAGTGCAGAAACTAGGGGATCGGGCGCGTATAACGGGGGGGACACTGCAGGGATAAGAATATTGACAGTTGGGAAAAAACGAGTCATGGTAGGGATGAGGGGATCACATGGACCCGTGCCGGGGGGGTCCCACAGGGGTCGGGCCCAGGGGCCCGTGTATTTCGGTATATGTGAATGACATGATGGAAGGGTTAGACTAGAAGTGTCCTGTTCGCAGTGATGTGAAGTTAATGAGGAAAGTAAAACAATGAGGGTCAACAAAACTTCAAAGAGACCTGGGGCAGGTGGACCCTGGTCCAGCAACTGGGTTCTTGAATTCAACCCTGCCCAAATCAAGGGCATAAGATCGGAGAAGGGCAAAAAAGACCGCAGACGAGTGTAGGGTAGGTGGCCAAAGGGCTGCAAAACCCCGCTCGAGGAGAAAATCCGGGGTGACCCTAAACCAGCATGTCTCCAAGGCACCCCTCAACCAGATAACTCTGACAAAAAAGGGCGTGGTAAACCAGAAATAGCGTTCCGATACCTTGTAAGGAATCGTTCAAAACACTGTACACTGTTCACAGGCCCCTACGGAGTATCCCGCTCCAGTTTGGAACCCACACCTGGGCAAACACGCAAAAAATTAGAGAAAGTGCAAAAGGGGTTTTCAAAATGGCTGTTCCGACTCAGGGGTATGTCCTACAAAGAGGTTGCGGGAAATCGGACTGACGACATTGGAGGACCCGGCGGGGCATTGAACATGATAACGAAACAAAACATGCGGGAATAGATAAGGTAATTGGAAGGATTTTTCCAAGGGGGACACAGAAACAAAGGGTCACAATTAAAGCTGAAGACTCGACGAGTCTAGAGATGTTAGGAAGATTTCTTGTTATGAGTCGTCGGAAGTGGGTAGCCAACAATTAGATGGGGCGGAACCATACAAAGCTTTAAGACGAGGTATGACAAAGCTCTGGAATCAGAGAGAGAGGACCTAGTAGCGATCAGTGAAGAGGCGGGGCCAGGAGCTGTGTCTCGACCCCTGCAACCACAATTAGGTGAGTACACAATTACACACAAACACACCAAACACGACAATGCACGGAAACGTAAAAATAATATCTTCTCCACGCTCGAAACATTTATTAGATTGTGATTTGGTAATGGTCCAGGAGGAGCAGCAACGTCTTCTAAGGTTCCCTCACCATAATGCGCAATATTTGTGAAATAAGCGAAATTTTACTAGCATTGAATTTCATGATGATAAGTAAGATGCATGTGCAACAGTTAGGTATCTTATTTCGAAATGTTTCGGAATAAAGATACCTAACTGTCGCACATGTGTCTCACTTGTCGGTATTGTATACCATCATATTTACATGGTAGCTCATGCTGGAACTGAGCAGAAACTCTATTTTTATGTCGGCAAGGACAAGATGTTGACCTCCAGTACCCTCCACTAGGACACTGTCCATGTATTGCCTAAAGTGGTGACAACTTACATACACTCCGAGCATCTTGTAGTCCCAGGAGAACTCTCTGGGCATCTCTGTCAGGTTGAACTCGACCCAGTGATCCCTGGCTCTGGTGAGATAGAAGTCATCTCCAGTGGCCCGGTACAGCCAGAGAGCTCCCCAACAGAGCTCATCACCGTACCCGCTCCACGACCTGAAGGAGAAACATGTTGAGTTATATATTAGAGCTCTTCGACGGAACAGATGAAAAGACAGTAGAGTATAAGCATTTGATACGGATTATTATCATTAAAGAAAACTAAATTAAATAGAAAAATCTGGCCGCAAACAGCACCTGACCTCCTACATCCAGCACTTACTTATAGAAATCTTGCACCTCTGGGATTGAGACATGGTAGTACTCTCTACGCTCGTCTCCGAAGGTGTAGAGTTCTTTGGCCGCCGCCAGCACTTCCGCTGAGTAGTCCGGATCTACATCCTGACGGGAAGAAAGGTGTGAGAGGGATTCCTCGTGCAGTGTTGAGGGTCATATATAAAGGTATATGAGAGATATTCATCCTGCAGTGCGTTTTAAGTCAAGAGTGAGGGAAGTGTATGATACATCTGCAACCTGCCGTGAGTTGTGAATCAAAGATAAGGAAAATGTGTAATAGGCTTTAATCTTGTTGTGCGTTGTACGCCAGGAATGAAGGATGTGTGTGAGAAGTGGGAGGGGGCATTCAACTGTGTATATTGCAGTATAGTTAATTTAATAACTTCTTTTATGTAGCCCATACCCATGGTGTGGATGGTAATCAAAAGATTACAGAGGCAAATAATAGGTCCAGGGACTGGGCCACAAATTTCTCGTGGCTATGAAAGTTACATTGATAATGTACTGTTCACTGGGCTTTCCCCTCACTTTCCCCCAAAATCTTATTTAATCAAAGCCAAAGTTTCGGCTTGAAGCCCAAACACGATGCCTTAATTAAGTTGTACTGATGCCCTAGTGTGTTGTAGGGAGACGCATCTTACATGTGTGGAGACACAAACTTCGACAGGTGAACTAGTATACCTGGAAGACGATGGAGGCAGCAGCAAGGGCAGCAGCAGCCTCGCCAGCCAACTCAGAACCTGCCAGCAAGAACATGATAAGGCAGTCAACTCGGGTCGATTTAATTTAGGACTAAGATAAGATAAAATAAGATAAGATAAGATAAGATTTCGTTCGGATTTTTAACCCCGGAGGGTAAGCCACCCAGGATAACCCAAGAAAGTCAGTGCGTCATCGAGGACTGTCTAACTTATTTACATTGGGGTCCTTAATCTTGTCCCCCAGGATGCGACCCACACCAGTCGACTAACACCCAGGTACCTATTTGCTGCTAGGTGAACAGGACAATAGGTGTAAGGAAACGTGTCGGAATTTCCACCCGCCGGGAATCGAACCCTGGCCCTCCGTGTGTGAAGCGGGAGTTTTAGCCACCAGACCACCGGGCCACTAATGAAGTTCAGCTTTATTAAATTTAATCTAAATTGAATTAGTAACTCGTATGTGTTAAATAACTTGCATGTCTTCAATAAAACTTCAGCTTATTAACGAAAAATAATAAAATAACTATGGGGTGACCAACACAACTGTGTGGCTACTGACCTGGATTATCGAAGTCGATCTTGTAGGATGGTCTCTCCATCGTCATCTCCTCAGGTCGTCCCCAAAATTGATGGTCAATGTGGCCATCACCCAC